ATAGAGGAGCAGTGTCTTGGTTCCTAAGACTATCGAAAATATGTGTTTTCCGATGGTCTTAGGCGACCCCTGTGAAAGGGTCGTTGAGAACCGCTTACTAGAGAATATATGGTAGTAGTTTCCCACTGTTTCACAGAAGAGTAACCCACATAACTTATTCATCCACATTTCCAAATAAACTCTGTCCAACAATGGCAGCAGTAGATCCTAATTGTCTGAGCTGTACCCTCCCTTCCTTTTAAGTAGTTTTGGACATTTGTGGTTAAGCATAACCCAAAAATCCAAAGTTCCTTTCTATTTCAAGAAAAAATAAATTAGAATAGCCTTATTTTTCCAACAATAAGCTCTAGGAAGCAGAGGTTTTTTTTTTAAAAAAATACAATGTATAAATCCACATTTGTCTTTCTAACATGTTTATTTTCTTCCTTAGATTTTAACTTCTGATACTTTCAACTTTTTCCAAATCTGTGAAAGGATGTCTCAGATACATGCAGAGACACACTAAACTGCCTCCCCCAACACAACATACACATAGGGGGAGGAGTGATGGGAGAAGCAGATTTGATATTAAAATGACATAGAGCAATAAAATAGACCAACGTTTTTATTTGTTATTTTTAGGAACAAGGCTATTTTATTCTGATTTATTCAGTGCCAGATTGTGTTAATTGTAGAATAATTAATTGGAGGCCACTCAGTTTGTTGTAAGATGGGAGTTATACCTTTAAATACAACAACAATAAAAAGTGACTGACTCTCCAGATGCTGCCAAGCTACAATTCCCAGCAGAAAAAGTGTATACAAAGAGATGTTTCTATTCAATAATAGAAAAGTTGGAATTCTATTTGGCATTACTAAAATAGTTCTATACTTTAAATCTTAAAAGACTGCTAGAGGTAACCTGCTTTCCAATATAATCTTTAAGACCATATACTGTATTTAGGGTTATTGTTACATTTTGCTAATTATTCAGGGTAATTCTGAGGTTACCTCAATAGTTATGGTTACATTCAGTTGCTTATTAGCAATCTTTGCCTGAGCCTCTGAAGTTGTTTTCAATAGTTCCTCTTCTTGCTTCCGTTGCTCCTGCTAAAAAGAAACCATACAATATTGAGAAAGGTCATTGCTGTTGCTCCACAAGATCCAGATGAGGTGGATGGAGGGCAAACATAACAGAAGACATTCAGAGATGTAGGAATCCCTTACCAACTTCCGCTCTTTTTCTTCCATTTCTTTCTTGAGCCTCTCTTTTTCTTTAGCTGCTTGCAAAACCTCTCTCTGCAAGCGTGCAGCCTTTTCTTTTTCTTGCTGTTCATGCTTCCTGTAAGAAAACACGCAACATTTACCACCTAAAGAGAAAAGCAATCAAACTTTTCATCATTAACTCAAATCACATGGCAGTCCTAGCTATGCTGCCAGGTACCCTAATCATATATTTGTGCACCTCAGAAGCCTTCCCATGCCTACTTTTATGGGAATTCATGAAAGGATGCTCAGATGCTCTTTCTTACCGCTGTGCCTGGATCTTTTCCTGCTCTTGCTTCTTCTCCAGTTCTCTCTTAGCAGACAGTTCTTTTTCTCTTTCCAGCTCAGCCTTGTGTTGTTCCGCGATCTTTCTTGCTCTTTCCTGTTCTTCCTCTCTTTTCTTCTGCATCAGATAATACATTATGCCAACTGGGTAAACAATATTTGCATCATGGAGGGCTGCAGTGCATAGGACTATGCCACACACACTTAGGAGAGTTTTGTTTCCAGCTTTGAGAAAAAATGGGGAAGACTGTGCTTTGTTTTTCTACAGTTTTAGTGTATTCCTCATCTCAGATTATTAGAAAACAATTCTATTAACACGTTAGTAGGAAAGTGTTAAAGTAAGTAGTGAAGTAAGAACTATAAAAGGATCTTATGATCTATACATGGAAGGGAGCCTCTAGAGTTGTAAAGCAGGGGCAAGAACAAAGTCCAAAATATGAATATGGTGTGGAATTATATTCCGAAAAATTTGGAACCTACTGAAGTATGAAAAACACAAATTTATTCTGCATGGGAACAGCAGTAGCTCAGAAGTTCTTCTGTTGCATCCGAGTTAAAAGTTTCTACAGATGAATTTACTTCCCATCAATGCTGTGAGAAATCTGATAAACATGATTTTGTGTGGTCAAGGTTTAATTTATTATTTATGAGTTGATTTCATTGCTCTATGTATATGCTGTTTGTTTTTATTACTGTTAAAATCTTTCTAAGGCTTAGTTTTATTATTACTATTATTCTTTGCATTATCATTTATTATTGTATTGGATTATCTACTTTATCTCTTTTTACAGATTAAAAAGCAAGTTTTTTTTTTAAAGGAAATAAAAGCTAAAAATTGGTGTTTTCTTTGCACAAGTCTGAAAAATCTAGTATAAATAGTAATGTGGTATAAAGACTAGTAGTAGTTCTGAGCTGAGAGGATAAGAACATAATTTTAACTATCTCATTTGACTTTAGTAGAAGATACAGTGCTAGCATTATCTTACAGCTAGATATTATGTAGAGATCCCATCTGCATTTACCTTCTCATTCTTCCCTTCATGTTGAGCCATCTTTTGTTCAAGTCGTTTTTTCTTTTCTTCCTCTAGCTGCTCTACTCGCTCCCGAACCTGCAACACCTTTCGTAGGCGCTCTTCACGTTTACTGAGGACACACAGGAGACCAGTTAGAAGAAAGTCAAAAAGATGGAGAGAGATTACAAAAGGGGCAGCCAGAAGGACTCAAATCCACACCGTTTCATTTCCTCTAATCGCCGTTTCTTTTCCTCCTCCATTTTCCTTTTTCTTTGTTGCTCAGCCTCTTCTTTCTTCCTCATGGTCTCTAACCGCTGTCTCTCTTTTTCCTAGATAGAAGAGAGGGAAGAAGCTCATCTTAGGGTCTTATGAAAAGCTGCATCCATTTTTATTGCAACTCCCTGAGGTGAAAGCTCAAAAGCAGAATTGTGGTTTTAGCAAAAAATAATAATAGCTAACCTCTCTACTCTAGTGAACACATTTAAAACTGCTATGGATTTAGAAACTAAATAAAGCACCGTATTTGGAAGATGGAAAGTTTCTGAGGGAATCAAGATTTTTTTCCCTAGACCATGAAGGTCCAGCTGTTTATTTAGGTTGCTAAAACCTTTCTGAAATAGACTAGCAGAAATATTTTTTTGCAGTATAAGATGCACCAAAGTATAAGACACACCAATTTTGAAGAGGCAAATTTAAAAAGTTTTTGAACTCTGCAGATCTCCCAAAAATGGCCAGTTTTTTTGCAAAATGCCCCCCTTTTCTTCAAAAAAAGAGGGGGGGAATGGATAGCCTTTAGGAAGCTTGTAGAGTGCTCCTGGGGGGGGGGAATTAGCCATTTTTGTTAAAAAAAAATGGTATGCACAGCCTTTAGGAGGTTTATACAGTGCTCCTGGGGGGGGGGACAAAATGAGCAAAAAACGGCCCGTTTTTCACTCATTTCTGCCTTCCCCAGCCCCCAGGAGCACTCTGCAAGGCCCCTAAAGGCTCTGCACGGCCATTTTGGTAAAGGGAGCAGGGTTTTGGGAGGCAAAAAATGCTGTGTTTAGTGTATAAGACACATCCAGATTTTCAGCCTCTTTCTTGAGGGAAAAAGGTGCGCCTTATACTTCGAAAAATACAGTAGATATTCTTAAATATTTCTGAGTCAACACCAAGACAACTGGATTAGTGAGATCGGGGGGGGGGGGGGGGGGGGGGGGGGGGGGGAGGTAGGATGTTCCATAGTTCTACTCAATCTTACTTAAGAAACAGAATGTTTTCTGTGTATACAAAATAATGGTGCCAATTACTCAGAATTTTCAAAGGGTGGGGAGGCAATGTAAGAACTTAAGTAGTTCTTTGCAAGCCCAACTTTGCTCCTGTAAGTCGTGTTCACTGCCTCTACAAATTCTTGAAATTTTCAAGCAATTGGCATTAAAAAGAATCAGGACTCGGGATTTAAAACAAAACTATTTTGATAATACTTTAAACATATGACATACTTAGATTTTATCACCCTTTACAGGTAGCCCTCAACTTATGCCTGCTGGACCAGTTCTCTTCCACTCAAGGTCTTTGGGACCTGAGATTTCCGCTGCTCTTCAGAGGATATCTCCTTCCCCCACAGGCAGCCATTTTGCTTTTGGAAACAACTAGGCAGTTAGGCAAAGGGATTACTAAGTGAAACTACAACTCTGCTTCATCATTTTACTTCAGTTTTCCTTTGCTTTGCTGTCCTGCCAATGTTGCAAATGTGAGGATTGTTCATAAAGTTATTTTTTTTATCACCATTTTAATTGCAGTTGCTAAACAAGGCAGTCATTAAACACAGACTACTTGTACAAATATACTAAGTATGTCAGCATGAATGTTATATTTTATTTACACTTCACATTGCACACCTTAAAAGCAGCTGCATTATTAACAATATACATGAAGTGATCCAAAGGTAGCCTAAATAGCTTTTTTGTTGCACTTTCTTAGCTTGAAAAATTGATCTAATTGGAGACAGAATTAATTGAAATAATGTACAATATTCTGAAATATTGAAGGCTATCACAATAAACAGTACAATTCTAATAATGCATATGCACTATCTACTTTTTAGTAGAATTTAGTTGAAAAACACTAAATACATGCTGGGCTTCCCTTAAAAAGATCTCTATGCAAGTTAGGGCAGCTTTGGATAATACACACTGGGTTAATTACGCACAAATGCACCTACTGTAAAAGCATTCTTGCTACTTACAACAAACCCTCCCTGTGTAAAGAAAAGATTGAGAAATGATTAATAAATATAGTTGGGTGTTATAATGTATTTTCAATATCTGTATATTGTCCGCAATAGGGCTGAAATACAACCTCATATAGAATCCTGCCCTACTACATATTTCGTTAATTCCAACTGAATTAGAATCAATAAGAGCAACCTGCTGGGATATTTAACCCAAGGAGCAACAAAGGATTGAACTATCTGCCAGAAGCTCATATGGGAATACTGAACTTAAAGGCTGTGATACATGAGGCAAAATTATTGAGCTTTCAGTTTAACAGAGTTAAATCTAGACATTGCTCAGAATTTCAAAACAATGCCTCTCCCAAACCACATGCTTGCCTTTCAATCTCTTTAGCACTTTACCTATAGACTTTCTTGCTGTCATTAGTGCAATTTCACCTGTTCAGAGGTTGCTTACCCTGATCCTTCTTAAACCTTGTTTCTTTAATCAATTGTTCACATTCTTGCTTTTCAACCTTGCTCTCTTTTACTAGCTCAACTAAACTGAATATAATCGTACAGTACTTCAAAGCTTTTAGCTATTTGAACCCAAAGAGCTTCAAGCAGGGGCTTTCAAACTGAACATTTGTGTAAACTCCTTGGATAACAAGCAGAATAAAGGCAATGAAAGACTATATGTTCTTAGCTAAACTTAGTAACAAGACTAAAAACTTGAACATTTTGATGTTTACACTTTTGAGGAGGGGCAACTTCCACCATCAATCCAGAAGCCCTCTCCTCTTTTTTGTCATTAAATACAGAGTACTTTGAATTACCTTGGGAGTGAAGCGGAGAGGAGTGTTCTGCCTGAGAAATGATTTTATTGTGTTTTTTTGATTTGCAGAGGCAGGAGTCATCAGCATTTGGTTCTTCTGCACTGTGTGCAAGAACGTTTTCAAAGGACGCACAACCTGAAAAACCCAGAATATTATCAATCCATGGAGGTCAATCCTTTGTCCTGGGTGTGTTTTCAGGGATATAATGCTTATCTTACCTTGCTGGCAGGACATTGAGGAGATAGAGTCTTTTTTCTTGGTGGAGAGAGCTCATCTTCTGTGTGCTGTCCATCATCTCTATCACGAATTGCTCTCTTATAGCTTGGCTTTCTCCTGCAAGATTATAAAGGCTCATTGGACATTGTGACTCAGCCCTAACATTTCCTTGTCTCAGTTACAGGTGGGAAACATAGAATTTTATATCTTGTAGCTTTCAAACTCACAAATGACTCAGGGGCAACATGGCTGCTTGGTAACTATTTAATGAGGTAGAAGTCCAAGATCAGCTAGTTAGGATTTAAAACTGGATCTAAAACCCCTTAATCTAAAATCTGAGACACAGACAGGAGAAAGGATACAGAGTCTTTGTAAGATTATTATCACTTTAGCAGCTGATCAGTTTACTAAGCTTACCATATACTACAGCAAAATTAAATGCTGAGGTGCTAGGGAATTATTTTTCTTTTTTCCACAAACATTCTCTTGATATTCCAGAGAAAAGAAAAGTCCACTTTGGACTTTTGAAGAATAGCCTGCAGAGTTTATTAAATACTATCATCAGCATTAAGCAAAGATAGTGTATACTGAGAGATGTGGAGCACTGACATCTGAAAAAACTACATGAAGCCCACCTTGGCAGGGGGTACATAGAGGCACCACTGGATTATTTTGGCAGGAAGCTGGTAAAAGATTCCACTGAATCCCTGGAGGGATTGCTCTGTGGGAAACTTCTGCTGAGCATTTCTTAGTTAGTATTTGTGCAGATGGCTGGGAAGACTAGCAGCAGGAATTCCCTCAATAGCTTGGCCTGAAACCAATGACTCTTTTTTGTCCTGTGACTTGGACCTGCTGAGCTTTCTTCTTTGTGGGTTTGCTACATCATACACTTCACTGGGGGTGCTGTGAGAAACAGAGGCAAGGAAAACAGAAAGAAACTGTGCAGCCTTTTTTCCTATACAATTTAAGATTACAATACTCTAAAAGCAGAGAAGTTTCAAAATCCTTGAAAGATTTGGGGAAGAGATTTGCATTTGTTCTGAGCAAACAGAAGAACTGGGAAGGAATATAGCCTTTGATATTAGGTCACAGTTCCCTGCAATTAGCTACAAAGAGTTAAACCTTATCGTGATCATCATAAAGTTGTTTTTAACTCCTAGCAACCAGTTCATGGCAATCTATCTCTAACCTCTCCTTTCAAATGTCCCAATGGTGCACTCATCACTACTGTAACTGAATCCATCCTTCTTGCTGCTGGTAATCCTCTTTCACCATTCTTAGTAGTACAACTTTTGTCTTTTCAAAGTCTTTATGGCTACTCTACCAAGTGCTAGTCTTCAATGTATTTCTTGACTGCTTGTCTTTACTGTTGAAATGATTGATCCTGAAAGGAAAAAGCTATCCATTATTTCAGTATCTTCATTGTCAATTCTAAGGCTGGTTGCTTTACCTATTGTAATTACTTTTGTCTTGTTTTTTAAAAATTTAATCCCATTTTTTCCAGTTTACTTTTTACTTTCAGTATTAAAATTTGCAGATCCTTTGCATTTTCAGCTATCCTTACTGACCCTGGCTACCTTCTATACTCAAAGAACAAAGTAGAGAGGTTTCCTTTCTTAGTTTCCTCCATCTCCCTCGATCAGTGTTTCATAGCTTTTGTCAAAAAGAGGTAAAGAAACATACCGGGCACTCAGAGGCTGCTTTTGTAACACATCACCCATTTCAGAGCTCTCATCTGCATATAAAGAAAAATAGAGGATGAGCATTCAAGGATTGACCAAATTAAGCAGAGGCAAAATTATTTCATCAGCAAACAAGTAAGTAGACAATTATAGGGCAGAATATTCAGATTACAGGTTATTTTTATAGAAAATAGCAGTTGTTTAGTGGAAAGCAAATGATGACAAACCCATTACGTGCCATCAAAGGTGACATGCCACAATATTTTGAGTGAGACACTAGCATTCACCAATACTCACCAACTATTCTCAAAAACATGCCCATTCTTCTGTGATTTCTGGAGGCTGCACAAGAATGGGGTGTGCTCTCAAATGGCCTTGGGTGCCGCCATAATCAGGAAAAGGATGAGGGGGGGGGTGTTGAGGGATACTTAAGAATGGTCTGAGATTGCAGAGGTCATGGAAGAGCATTTACCAAAGCCACTTCAAGAGCATAGATTTCATTCGACCAGGAACAGGCCTGAATAGGTTGCAGAGCTGGCTAACAGAAAGGCAACAACACCAGAAGGCAAGGGACGCACATTAGCTTCTGGGGTGTGCTTAGTCTTGAGGCAATAGTACCAATCCCAAAGGCTCAAATGCCACAGGGAACAGCACAAGGTGGCCTTTTTGGGTGCCGGGGTGGCACTAGAACTGAAGTCAAGACCTGGGCCTCACTTTATCTAAGCAGCAAAAATCCAAATGATCATTAGATAGCAAAGTTTTAGAGATATGATTCAGGATTGTTGCAACCCCAATATGATAGGTATAAAGTCAAGAGAGTAGCAACTCAAGTTTGGACAGTCAGCTTCTTGGTAAAAAGAAAAAAAAGAATTAACACTCTTTAAGTAAAAGGTTGACACACTAATATAAATGATGCACAGGTTTTTAGACCAAGGACCCATAAGTCAGACTCCTAACTAGTCCATTAACAACGCAGGAGCAACATGGGAAAGGGTGAAGTTGAACATGTTTAATCTAGTGAGAAATACCTGGGGGTGAGGAGAGGGAGTTAGAAGAAAAAGAACTGAGTCATCTTCCAGAAACCTTGTGATCACATTTTTGCCCTTATTTTCCTTGCTTAAATCTGACTATTCTGCTATTAAAATACAATAAAGATATGTATTCAATATATATGGCTGCCCACCTATCAGGTAACTCTGAGCAGCCAATAGGAGTTAAAAATGTAAAATATTTCCTTAAAATAAAAAGGAAAACAAAATAATATAAAACATAGCAGACTAAAGCACACTATACTGAGGTCTAGACACATAAAACTCATCTAGTTATAACTGGGCCAGCACTTGGGGGTAAAGTAGATGTTCTAGACCAGCGGTTCTCAACCTGTGGGTCATGATCCCTTTTGGGGTTGAATGACCCTTTCACGGGGGTCGCCTAAGACCATCGGAAAACAAATATTTTCAATGGTTTTAGGAACCGAGACACCAATTTCATGGTTGGGGATCACCACAACATGAGGAACTGTATTAAAGGGTCGTGGCATTGGGAAGGTTGAGAACCACAGCTCTAGACCTCCTTAAAGGCCAATAGAGCAAAACACATTTCAAGGTGAAGGCTGCTTGATAGGGAAAACACAAAAAGTATGCTTCCTGGGTCCCATAAGGTGATGATGTTTAATTGATCCAACCCTGAGCACAGGAACTCTAGTTTTAAAAGATGGCGAAGATAACTAGAAATAGACAAATATCCAGCTGACGCACCATGAAAGGCATTACAGGCAGCCATGTTCTGAGATGTACTGTTACAGAGGCACCCATGCTGCATAAACAGCTATATTCTGGAACAATTTTAGTTAAAGTCATCTTCAAGCGCAGCTTCATGAAGAAGATACTGCAGTACTCCAGAAAGGCTAAGGCATGAGTGACATTGCTAATTATAATTTGTATTAGCTCTTTATATTGCTTTGGCTTTACTTTTTTATTAGGTGCTTTACTTCACAAGCAAAAATGCCAGGTATAAATCAAATTTGATCACCAATAGAAGAGAGCAGATTCTCCTCCCCTCAAAAAGAAAACCCTTATTAAAACTATTACTGCCCTCAAATAACTGGATTAGTACTGAATAAATATGGTTAAAGCTTTGTATTCCTTTGAAGGTGTGCTTCAAAGTTGGCTATTTTTGCTATAGCCAATATACTGACCTTCGCTTTCTCCTTTATGCTGTTTTTCTTCGGATCGGGGAGTCTCTTGCATACCAGTCTTATTAGAATAAAGGGATTTGTTGAGATTTTCATCAACCTATGATAAAGGTAATCATATTGTTAATTGCTTTACAAGCAAATCACATAGAATTATTAGTTGACTGAGTTAAGATGCTTCCGAATGTAGTAATATAATTTCTTTTATTGAAATGTTTCATCCACTGAAATCAATAAGGCTTAAGTGACAGAGAATTCTTATTTTATAAGTGTAATTAAACTAAAGTCCAATGCCAGGTTGAGAAATATCAAGCACAGAAATGGGCCAGATTTTTTTTACTGCGGGTTAAGTTTGGCAGATTCAGAAATGTTTGCTTTCCAGATGATCTGACATTAGCAAGAATCATAAGGCTCCCAAGATATAATTTGTATATTCTTTCAGGATCTATCTCTAGTCTAGCTCAATGACCTTTGTGACAATAAAGATTAATAAAGAGCTTTTTAGTTACAGACAGTCACAAATATGACATTCATGTCACTTTAATACAAACTGCTAAAATAGTAAAGGATTAAAACAAAAACAAACTAAAAAAATAGTAAAAGAACTTAGGAATGTGAAGCTCCAAATATGAACAGTTGTTTTTATTGTACCAGTTTGTATAAGAGATTATGCAACTCTCCATTATTATGAATACTATAATACACACTCATAGGTTCCTACTTCCGAGACCCCAAATGTTCAAGGCTTGGCAGACTGCTTTATAGTGTCAGTCACATTACGCAAGGAAGAATTACATTTGGCCAAGGGTAAATTGCATACGAATTTTCCCATAGTACAAGCTCACAAATGTGGTATGATGTAGGAAAGTATAAATTTAATAAGCAATTATATGGTTCCAACCGTAAAAAAGGCAAACTTCTGCCATTTAACGATGAAGTCATTGTTTCCTTTGGAAACACTAAGAAAATTTATAGACCGACAGCTACCTGAAATTTAACATGTGCTCTGATATGAGACAGTGAATAGTCCCAGTAGTATTACAGATGTATCTTTATCCTGGGGACATAAAATATTATGTGTGTGTGTGTGTGTGTGAGAGAGAGAGAGAGAGAGAGAGAGAGAGACAGAGAGAGAGAGAGACAGAGAGAGAGAGAGAGATCTGATCAGTTAGAAATTATCCAGTTGACATTCCAAAATGCAATTCCAGTAGACAGAAGGACATAGTGAAGCATTCAAAAGAGATCCTTTGCAATGTTTGTTAATGACAGCAAATCCCTCCCATTCAAATATAAGCACACATACAGAGTTAGAGTCAGCTTTAGAAATAGCCATACATTCAATCAAAGTGGCTGATTAATACTTTATAAAGGGATATTCTATTTACATCAACATGCTTTTATAAA